TACCTTCCAAAACAGTCTGATGATATATTTCTGTTAAGTCATTTGTTTTATTTTATGATGGCAGCCCTAGCAAACAAATATAGAGATTAAAATCACCATTTCAGATCTGGTTCCTTGAAAATTAGTTGTGATGAAAGCTGGGAAAAAACCAAAAAAGTCCAATGAGGGAAAAGGTGTGGAGCTAGTCTCATTAAGGCAAAGCAACAATGGAAAGGTGATGGCTGATATCAGACTTGAGAGTACTACCAACCACCTCCCTAACCTACAGTAAGTTCTTGAGGATATTAAATAACTACATTTGTTTCCATGGTTTACCTCAGCCAACTTGCTAAATGCAAGTTCCCAGATTGGCATTTCTTTAAAGTACCAGGTTTTTAGTTTAGCTATTGAAGGAATAGACTGGGACCAGAATAGCAGTATGAGCAAAAATACAGAAGTAAAATGACCATATAATGTGTAAGGAAAATAGAGAACAGTAAGGAGTAAGGAAATTTATTCATATTAAACAGTTTTTGGCAAACTTAATGGAAGTGAGATCTATTCATATTAAGGATATAGAAATAAAGTTTTAGTGAGAAGATGGAGCCAGAGTGGGAAGAAATCCTAGCTAGTTGCCATCTTCTTTATGTAGACTGTGAGGCTCTTGTTGCTAGGCAGCTATCTAGAACTCAAACAATTGAGAGTCAGCTGAAGGAATAGACCTATTTCGCTTTATCGTGTCACGTCTCATTTAAAAACCTTCGCTCATGAGATGGTTGTTGCAAGTAAGTCATGAAGAAGACTCTCATTAAAAAGAGTAATGGTAATCAGTGCTTCATATATTGTAAGTCACTCAGGAGGTTAACTCTAAGAGAAAGAAAGACTGTGTCTATGCCTATGTGAATGTGCACACACACACACACACACACATACACACACTCACTATATTTCTTTCCCAAGTATTCAGACCCTGAGAGGAATGATGCCCTTTATTATTTCATATTCTGGTCTATTTATTTGGTTGAAAGCTTCTAAACTATTTTTAAAATGTTGTTATTTACTGTTTGAAATAGTGATTTAGATTATAAATCAGAGTGAGGGTTAACCATTAACTAGGCTACAAGATGAATAAATTTGATGAAGCTGTGAGGAAAAGAAAACACAGAATTTATAAAAGATGGTCTGTAACATTCAACTTTGGGGTCTCTGTACTATTGTGGCACTACACCACTTTGATTCAAAATGTATTCTTTCAGGAGCTATGACCTTTGGAGCCTGGTATAAAATAATGTAATGAGTGCAAAGACAGCCTGGCTCAATTAGTCTTTCAAATTTGTTTTCCCTTACCTTCTTATAAGATGAGGTGTTAGGAATAGATTCTGACAGATTTTTATTGGTTAAGTTCACCCTCAATAGTGTTACCTCATTAATCAATAATCCTTTTCCATCACAACAAAAGCCCACACTTCATATTACTAAAAATACATCAAGGAATACAGGAAGAACAAATCAGAATATCAGAATTTTACCAGCAATTCAGAAGTATTTCCCTCAAAATTTGCTTTTAGTGATCTTGCTTGAGTTCTTCTGTGGACTCTTGACATTTTGTTAAGTAAGCCCCTTCTACATTTGACTTGATTACCTGATCCAAACAATCAAAGTGCTCTTGTTGCTGTAACAATGAGGATAATGTTAAGTCTGAAATGAGCCCCATGCCACTGTGTACAACGACAAACCCAAAGCTAAGAAAATTATCCAAACCTGTATTAAAGTCATTAGATGACAGTTTCTTCATTTTACTAATTAAGCTACCATCATCGAAATCTGATAGTAAGAACAACTTGTGAAAGCAAAGACAATGGCCAGGGATATAGCTCAGTGGCACAAGTGCCTGCTTTGATTCCCAGTACAAAAAAAAAGAAAAAGAAACAGAAAAAGAAAACAAAGACAGTGCTGATTTCCAGCTGAGGGTGTTATATATTGATGAGGAAATTCAGAAATTCATTTAAGAAATGATGTGGGCAAGCTGGGTATGATGGTGCATGACTGTATTTCCAGGCTGAGACAGGAGGATCACTGCAAATTTGAGGCCAGCCTGGCCTACATAGTGAGTTTCAGCTCAGCCTGAGCTACACAGTGAAACTCTGTCTGAGAAAGAAAGAAAGACATAGTGAGACTCCGTATTAGAAAGAAAGAAAGAAAGAGAGAGAGAGAGAGAGAGAGAGAGAGAGAGAGAGAGAGAAGAAAAGAAAGAAAGAGAGAGAGAAAGGAGGAAAGAAAGAAAGAAAGAAAGAAAGAAAGAAAGAAAGAAAGAAAGAAAAAGAAACAATGCAGTCTATATGATGCATATTATTAAAAGCACGGTAGTGTTTATAATAAAAATTTGTTCATTACTTCAGCCTTTAGGCCAGAATGTCAGGCTGTCTTATTCTTTTCTGTACATTCCCTTTTCCTCACAGTGTTGGAAGAGGACCAAAAGCAGGCAAAAGCATTAATCTACATTGGGTGGAGCATCTTGGTCCACCATGGTCGAACTGATGTTACCTAGAGCTAGGCTATTGGGATGGCAGGCATGGTGATGCGAATTTGAAAGTGGGCAAGCATAGAAAGAAGAGTTTTGTGAGTTCTCCAAGTATTTAAAGAATAGTTTTAATGATAAATAAAAATTGTGGTTAACACATGTTCTTACATGAGTTTCCAAGGGTGATAATACGGTACAGACGTGGCTAAAGTTTAATGGCTAACAATTATTGAAGGTGAGTTGTAACAGTAAAAACCAAATGCCTGGTGCTGTATTTTGTTCACATGCTTGCCAAACACAGTGAGAGTATAGATAAAATTATTGGTGGAGAAGAAAGTAGTCAACACCCTATTCTTTGTGGTTTATGCAAGGTAAATTGAGAGTTTGAAAAAAATAAGAAAAGTGAATAATGGTCTGATGAGATGGCTGCTATTTTAGTAGTTTCAGAGTAGCTTTGGCAATCAAAGTAAATTGTAATCAAATATCCCAGAGATGAAAATTTTGAGAATAAAAAATGTCTCTTCTGCTGGGCTTCACATTGTTGGAATACAAGCTTTCATAAAATTAAGTGGGAAATGGGAGTTTTCCAGAAAGCAGTAATAACAGAGTAGAGATTGTTGTTGTCTTTTTATGAAAGGAAGATTTCATAAGTGATAGGAAAATAATTGTAGAGAGAAGAGGTTAAAGAAAATCAAGGTAAAAAGAAAACTTAAGGAGAAATGGATACTGGGTCTAGGAGTGATGGGTGATGTGTCTGGCATCTGCCAATTTTGTAATCCCTACAAGTGACATTGGTTTAATTTGTTTTAGATCCTTCATCATGGACTTACTTTTCTCTGTTGCTTCACCCACTACTCTAGCAGTGCTTAATATCATTGCTTGAGTGATACCATTATTTTAATGATTTTGTGAACACTGATGATACTCTCTCTAGATCAATAAAATGCAGGTATTTATATGTAAAATATTAGATGCAATTTTACCGAATCCTAAAGTATGTTTTTACCCCCCAAAATGTTCTGGGTCATTAACTTACTTAGGCCTATGTTTTCCATTTATGTCTCCCTGGTATGTGGTATAGCATCTGCACATTGTGCCTGTTTCATTAATATCATGCTCAAGAACAAAGCAACAAATCACCATTGTGAGCTTGGCACCATGCTGGTACCAGATTTCTCATTTCCAGAAACATAGTACTATTATTATTAAGATGATGTCTTATATTTGTACTTTCATATGAGATATGTATATTTTTATTTCAGTGATAAATCCATTTGAGAGTTGATTTGAAGAGCTCATGCCTTACAATTCTAAAATGTCAGAGACTTTAATGCCTTTGACCCAGTACTTTATCTTTCTTAATATTATCCTTACTTCCTTTAGGAGTTATTGATTTCCTTTTCATTGCTAAATATATTTTAGTTTTCCTTCAGAATTCTCTGATTTTCAGTGGTCACTTTTTCAGCTACTTTGATTTCCTGTTCATTTTATGTGGCCAGAGACTTTAAAATGTGTTTATTTATTTATTCATTCAGTTATAAATTTATTTATTTTTGCAGTCCTGGGGACCGAACCCAAGGTCTGACTTAGGCTAAACAAGTATTCTATTACTAAGCTACAGTTTCAGCCCCTTTTGCTTTATTTTAAGACAGGATCTCACTAAGTTGCTAGACTGGCCTCAGTTTCCCAAAACTTCTGCCTTATCCTCCCATGCAGCTGGAATTACAAGCATGGACATAGCACTCAGCATAATGGTACTTTTCTTATGAGTATAATCAAATATAAACACTTCTGAGTAACATTCACCAGTCAACCCAAGTGACTTCATGTAATTCTACCATTGTTTATTGTTTTACTGAACAAAGCTATCCATTATAGATTCCAATACTTTTAAAAGACAGTTGATGCAGTCTGACAAGATTGGAGGAATAAAGGAAGAATAATGATTTGTTGCACAGATTATCAAAGACCACGATAAAAAATAATATATACAAATGATTTCTTACGTATCTCTCCTGAGTAATGAGACTAAGTGGCTTCATCATTTTAAATGATAAATGAAGTACAATTGATATTTATTTTAAATTAATACTTGTAAATCAAGATTCCCTTATCAAATCAAGATACATAGCCACTGTTCCAAATCAAGATGCATGCTCATTTTTGTTTTAAGTACTTATTGTAGAGATGTTCACACGGGTACATATATATAAAGAACAGCACCATGAACCCATGTACTCTTCACCTAGATTCAGTAGTTACTGACCTGTGGCCAGTTGTCATATAAGTGCACATGCACACAGTCTGCTCTGCCTCTACCAATAGTACAGAACAAACCTAGTATACTGTATGCAGTCATGTCTTCAGCCAAACACTAATCCATTTTAGCCCAGGCCCTGCTCTTTCTCTTGTATTCTGAGCCTGCTGATAACAAAATACCTGCCTTTGTCTTTGTATTTATGTGTATACGTATGTATGTATTTATTTATTTTTCCTTCAGTTGTGCTGCTCTGATGCACTGACTCTTCCAAAAGATAGACCATGAAAGGTTGGTGCTGCATGCAACCAAGTCAAAGGAGAAGACAGGCAAGCAGAACCTCTGCCCACCCCCACTTTGCTCTCTCTCATAATTCATGATGACTGTGAGTGAAGCCCTGATGTATGTGAGGATCACTCCCCAGTGGCTCTGGCTGGGTGTATTTCTCTTCCTTTCTGGATGGCCCCAGGCTGGACACTCCCAATACTCCAGCCCCCCAGAAGTGGTGATTCCTTTGCAGGTCACTGGCACTGGTAGAGGCATGAGTCCTCCAGGATGGCTGTCCTACAGCCTGCACTTTGGGGGCCAGAGACACATTGTTCACATGAAGGCCAAGAAGCTTCTGATGTCCAGACACCTGCCTGTGTTCACTTACACTGATGAAGGTGTTCTTCTTGAGGACTATCCTTTTGTTCCAGATGACTGCTACTATCATGGGTATGTGGAAGGGAATCCAGAATCCATGGTTGCTCTTAGCACCTGTTTTGGAGGCTTTTATGGAACACTACAGATAAATGACATCGCTTATGAAATCGAGCCCAAAGAGTATTCTCTTACATTTGAACATCTGGTTTATAAAATGGCCAGTGAGGAGACACAATCTCCACTCTTGAGATGTGGATTATCAGACAAAAAAATAGCACAGCAGTTGAAGCTTCAAGAGAGTGATAATTACATTCTGATGCAGAGTGGGTATCTGGGCTGGTGGATTCACACATGGCTTCTTGATCTGGGATTGGTGGTAGACCATCAACGATTTGTTTTTCTTGGAAGAAATAACTCAAGGGTAATGTTTGATATTTTGAACATTGTTAATCAAGTAAATTTTCTTTTAAAAAGTATGGGTATCAATGTACTTCTAACTGGACTTGATATCTGGGATAAATCAGACCTTGTGCCAATATCTGATGACATGCCTGCTGTCCTAGAAGCATTTCGCAGGTGGAAGATACGTGAATTTGATAGACGTGTAACAAATGATCTTGGACATCTCCTTTCACACCAAATTTATAAAGATGGGTACCTTGGCTTAGCTTATGTGGGAACTACATGTAATACTCATTATAATTCTGCAGTTGATAGAGTCCATTCAAGGTCTTTGCAAAGGATTGCCCATACTGTGGCCCATGAGTTAGGACATAATTTGGGTATGAGCCATGATGAAATAGTTGGACCATGTGCATGTGAGCAGCCTGTATGTATCATGGCTGCATTTGACAATCACTCCACCAAATTCAGCAACTGCAGTTATTCTGTTGTCTGGAAACTCAGTTATGCAGCAAAATGTGTTAGAACTATTCCAACACCACTGGATTTAATAAGAGGTATACTTCCACCACCACGGAAATACTGTGGGAATCGTATGGTGGAACAAGGAGAGGAGTGTGACTGTGGAACCGTAAAATTGTGTGCAGAAGATCCATGCTGTTTTCCAAACTGCACTCTAATATATGGGGCTCAATGTGCCTCTGGGCTTTGTTGCAAAGAATGTATGTTGATGCCATCAGGCAGTGTGTGTCGAGAACAGAGTGGTGAATGTGACCTTCCTGAGTGGTGCAATGGAACTTCACAAGAATGTCCAAATGATGTGTATGTATTGGATGGAATGTCTTGCCCAGGCAGTGGCCACTGCTATGAAAAAAAATGTGTCATCCGTGATGAACAGTGTAGGCAAATTTTTGGACAGCAAGCCAAGAGTGCAAATCAGACATGCTACATGGCAATAAACAGCCAAGGTGACCGTTTTGGTAATTGTGGCAATAACAGCCAGGAGTATCTAAAATGCAGCACCAGTGACATCCTCTGTGGGAGAGTTCAATGTGAGAATGTGACAGAAATTCCCTCTTTGTCTAATCATACCACTGTACGTTGTTCTCAAATCCAAGGTACTTTCTGCTGGGGTACTGACTATCACTTTGGGATGACTGGGCCTGATATTGGTGGTGTGAAAGATGGCACATTTTGTGCTGACAAAAACATATGCATCAAGCAGAGGTGTGTCACAATGCCACTTTGGACAAGCAATTGTTCGCCCGAGACCTGCAACATGTCAGGGATCTGCAACAATAAAAATCATTGCCATTGTGATTATGGATGGAGCCCACCTAACTGCATGACAAAAGGCAATGGCGGGAGTGTTGATAGTGGTCCACCTCCTTATCAACCCCCGAAGAAGACGGACAGCACCAAGAATTATGGGCTTCTATTTCCTTTAATCTTTTTTATTCTTTTGCTTCTCATATTGATCTTGTTAGCCTTGTTAAGGAAGATGATGAAAACAAGTGATACACCAGAGCAAAATGTTCAAACTGATACACCAGAGCAAAATGTTCAAACTGATACACCAGAGCAAAATGTCAAAACTAATATACCAGAGAAACCTGTCAAAACACATAAAAAATAGCATGATGTTTAGAGAAAAAAAACCCAATGATCAAACTTCAGTTCAGGCAGGAGGTCTCAGTGATTTAACTTCACCTGAAATAGAAGAGCAAAATTTTACAATTTCAAACAGCAATCCCAAATCATAAAGGAATTTCCCATGTGTTGTCTTGGCTGTAGAAATGTTCTTATATGTATGTCAAATACTTACAGAATGTTCTGGACATCTGTTACATTCCAGGATCAGAGTCATTCACCATTAAATAAAGGCAATTCCTAGCATATTTCTACTGTCCATTATTTTAAGGATTTTATTGATTTGTTTTAATGGAATTAGTCTTTTTATGTTTTCTCAGCAAATGCTAGCTCATCGGACGCATGTGTGTGTGTGTGTGTGTGTGTGTGTGTGTGTGTGTGTGTGACTGTCTTTTAATTTGGTTACTCTGCTTCCCTACATGGCGGCAGGGAGCTTACAGATTGCAATTCTTCTTTGCCAGTTGTCCTTAATGTTTAGTGCTCATAGAGGAGCCAGAAGACTGGAAACTTGAGCATATTTAGTTGAAGTTCATGTCATCAACGGTTCAGTAATGGCTTTTACCTTGGCAGGAGCAGGAGCTTTCAGTCTGTGCATTACTGTATGTCTACCCCAGAGATGCAGATGAGGTTTGGTCCAGTTAGAGAAGGGAACCTCTATGGGAGACACAGAGGATGCCCCTGTCTTCTTCATTACTATACAGGATTAGATTATAAATTAGACATTTGGGGACCTTCAATTCATCTTTTTTCTCAAAGTCACATTTTCCAAATTTGGGGGCTTTGTGGGAGATGGATAAAATTCTAAAATTTCTAAAAGGCAAATTCTCCTAAAATCATGTTATATGTTGGACACAAGACATAGTAAGTGGGGGCTTGTCCAAATATAACACAGTTTCTTCATTAGGACACCACTTGATTTTGAATTTGCTTTCAGCAAGAGACTGTGAAGCTAGACTATGAATATTTGGATGGTAGAGATAATCTTTCAAGCCTGAGAAAATAGCACAATGTACACTTCCAGCTGAAAGTCTACCAGGCTCATATCTGAGCAATATGTTATAAATGAGGTAGAATTAGTCCAAGATTAATTAAAACTTCACTCAACTCACACCTGGCTCACCCTAAGATTGACTTAGGTAATCAGCTCCCTAGTATATCTTTCTAACAGAGGAAACAGGGATAAATCTCTACAATAGCCATCTGGAGATAGATTCTTGGTTGTTTTTATACATAAGTATTTGCATAAAATAAGATTTTTCTGAGAGATAGGCAAGATGGCAGAGTAGAAATATCCTTCACGTGACTGGGAGACTGAAGAGTCTGGGAAACAAAAGAGAAACTGTATTCCAAGGAGAGAGAGTAAGCAAATATCTGGGAACCAATAAAGAAATGATTGGAAATTTAGACAGCATGGAGAATTAGAAAGGCAAAGCAGAAAAAGTCCAGTCTCAAAAGCCCTCCGGAAGGCAGAGCTAAACTAGAACCTGCAAGCATAATGCAAGCTGGGAAGTGAAATCAAATCCACTAAAAACTGTATATACAAAGTCTTATTGGAGGAGGAATCTTTTTCTTACTAACTTTACATCTAGTTTGTGATTTTGCCTAAGTGTCTCTTCCTGCATAACAAGCTAGCTTTAGAGAAGAAATCCATTTTGTCAACTCAGCAAACTCTGAGTGCTATAACCAGGAGCCAGCTTGAGATGTGTCCTATTGTTAGGAACCCAATCGCTCCGGGGAACAAAATCACCAGAGGAATCAGAGTTCAGCATCCCTGGGGATCCCCTACCATGCTGACTGGGTGGGAAAGGTCAAGCTAGATAGTTGTGATTGTGAGGACGAATGCTATCCCACCAAGATATTTGAACAGCATGAACACAGCCAACGACAGAGCACAGAGGGTACAGAAGCTGGTCCTGCCCTCTATGACAATGAGCAAGGCCAGTTGTGTATGGCGTTGTGAGGCAGTTGGGTTTAACAATGAGAGGGAGGGTGGCAAATACCTGTGCTCTCCTGGCCCCCTTGAACTTGGTGGCTTGACAGCTTGCCACACACACTCTGCAGCATCTTGGATATATCCTGTTGGTATTAACTATAGTGATAAGTCCCAAGAACGAGGTGCCCGCAGGTGAATAAGAAAAGGTAAAAGAGACAAGAAAAACAAGAGAGCTAAAAATCTGGGATCAGGGGGCTTACAGTCTCTAGGACTGCCACGGCCCCTATCACTCATCTCAATCACCTTTTACTAGAACAGAAAACGTAACTAAAACTAACAGAAGAAATTCATTATCCCTTTCCAATTCTGTCTCTCAGCTGATGGTAACAATCCGTGGTGTGGCATGCCTCCCACACCACGTTCACTCAGTTCAGCTGGGGATCATAAGTTGACCATCAGTAATTAATCCATTAGCAATCACAGTCCTTTCCCCACAATATCCCCTGGCTTAGACCTGATGATTGCAAGAGATTTTATGGGAACTTCTAAACACAAGCCATAATAAGAAGTGACTCCAATCCCAGCACCTCAGCAAGGAGCAGTGGAATCCTTTTTCCCCCTTTCCTTTTCCTCCATTTAGTCTATTATTTGTTGTTTTTGTGTTTTGTTTCTCATTTTTTTTTACTTTTGCTTTTAAAAATTGTGTTTTAATATGATGTTCTCTTTCCTTCCATTGTTTAAATTTGTTCTTTTATATTAATCTTACTTTTATTCATTTTTAACTTTTTAGTTTCTTCTGTGATATTTTGCCCTTTTCTATTGTTATTAATCTTGTGGTGGTGGTTGTTTTCAATAAATTGTTATTATACTTTTGAATGTGGGTTTTTTTTTTTTTTTTTTTTGGTACCAGGAATTGAACTCAGGACCTTGTACTTGCCAGGCAGGTGCCACTGAGCTATATTCCCGGCCCCTGAATGTGTTTTCTTAATGCTATGGTTGTTAGTGTTGTTTTTCTTTTTTCTGAGTGGAGGTTGGGATTGAGCCTAGCACCCCAAGCATGTTGGGTGGATTTTTGCTGCTGAGCTCATACCCAGCCCTATTGAGAGAAATTTCTTTTTACTCCAATCATGATCTAATCCTGCTCAAACCTTGGTGAGTACATTATCTTAAAGAAGAAGGGAAATAAGCCCCTAGCTGATGATCTGGCCCCAAGTAGGCACAGCCAGTGGTCAGGCACTAAACATTCACTGAACATTCACCCCCACAGCAACCGAAGAGAAAAATTAAACAATTACTGTGGACATGGCACCTATAATGGACCTCATCATAGGTTGTTACAATGTCTTTACAGATAGCACATTTCAGGCAAGAGTGGAGAAGTAACCACAAAGTGTGCCTCCCATATACTTTATTGTCTCTAACATACCAGCCTCATCTACCAGAGGGACTTCAGTCTTGCAAGGCCTAGAGAGAAAGTTTGTACACTGTGTCAATACAGCCAAAATACTTAACACCCAAAGTTAAAGGAGGAAAGACTCATTTAGCTCACAGTTTGTAGAAGTTTCAGTTCATAATCATCTGGCTCCAAGGCAGAGGGTCACATGGCAGAGGGACAACTGTTCATGGTAGTGGAAGACAGCAAAAACAACAAGGGAGCAAGCAAAAGGGGAAGACAAATCTCTTTCTGCTCCTTTTATCTTACCCAGACTGCTGGGATTAGGGCAGTGCAAATCTAATCGGTGGACTGATCCAGCATTCACCAACACTTTATCCCAGCACCCTTAATCCTAGCATTGAACCATGAATCAATCACAAGCTCTAGATTCAGCTACCTCCAAAGATCTCCATCTAAAAGTATGTGAGACTCTTGAGGGGACATCTATATACAAACCATAACAATACATTCATCATGGGGAGTTGGTACACGTACATAACACATCTTAATTCTTTTTCTATCCTTTCCCTTCTTCCCTTCATGTGTTTATAATTGGCTCAGAACTTCTCATAGTATAGTTTTTCCCTGGTTTCTCTGCTCAAAAAGGCCAGCAACTCAGCTGAGAACCTCATCAATAGACTAGCTCAGAAGTAACAAAGAATGTCAGAGTTTGAAATAAATGTTGATAACATCACATTTAGAAGAAAAATAATAAGAAATTATGAACAAAATATGCAAGACCCATGAGTATGACTAACAAACCAAAAATGTAAATAATTGTTTTGCACAAATAATCCAAGGTACAGGTTACAGACATAGAACACCTCTTCAGTGAAACAACTGCAGTACATTTCACAAGTCTTGGGAAATATATGGACATCCTGGAATCAGAGGCATTTAGAAATTTGTCTTAGCAACAAAAAAGTAACTAACAGTAATTATTATGTACTGCAAATATGTACTACTAATAATTTTAAAAATTGAAAAGGCAAACATCATAATAACACCAGATTTCCCAGCAGAAACTCTAAAGACCAGAAAAGTATCAGATGATATATTTTAAGCCCTAAAAGGAAATAAATACCAACCTAGATTAGTATACCCATAAAAGTTATCCTTCAAAATTGAAGGAGATATAAAAGTCTTCAAAAATAAGTGTAAACTAAAGCGATTCATGATCATTAAAGCAACATTTCAGAAGATACTTAAAATGAATCCTACACATGGAAAAGAAAGCAAAACAAACTCAATCACAGCAGCACAGGATAAAATAAGAATCTCACTAGAAGAGTAGATAAGGTAATAAGAATTAGGAAAGAATAAAACATTTTTAATTCAGTAAACCACCAACTTTAAAATAAATAAGGCAGAAAGAAATCAATATAGATTATTGGAAGCATCCAAAAGAAAACAAAATGACAAGAATTAATGCATGTCTTTTAACAGTAATCCTGAATGTAAATATGTAATTCTTCAATTAAAACATGCTCACTGGATATTTGGATTAAAAAGCAATATCCAATAATTTTCTTCCTACAAGAAATTTACTTTAGTGGCAGAAACATACAGACTGAAAGTGAAAGGATAGAAAATGATATTCCAAGGAAACAGAATCCAAAAGCAAGCAGGAGTAGCTATAGTCATATCTGACAAAACAGACTTTAAGCCAGAATCCATTAGAAGAAACCTAGAAGGTCACTACATATTGATAAAGAGAAAAATCCATCAAGAAGATACTATGATTATAAACACATGTGCACCAAACATCAGAACCTTGGATTTGATAAAACAAACACTGGACATAAGGGAGTGAGAGAACTCAGTATACTACAAGAGGAATGAGTGACTTCAGTACCCCAATAGACAGATCGTACAGACAA